AAATTTCCTTTTCACACAAATTTTTATTAAATCTAAAATATTCAGAAAAGAAATGTCAAGTGTTTAATTTAATTTAAAAAAATAAATAAAATTTTTAAAGTCTGATATATTTTTTAATAAAAAGGTTGGCTGGGGGTTAATTAATGTTGGCAATTCTTTTAATTTAAATTTAAAAGAATTATTAAAAGTTTTGATTAATTTAATTAACTAGAAAAATAATTTTTTGGCGTCATTTTTGGAGTCTCGTGCTAAAATTCAAACACAGACACTAATCAGGGATTGAAAGAATTTTTTAATTCTTAACAATTTTTAAAAAATTTTAAATTAAATAAAAATTCTCGAATTTATTTAATTTACCTTTTAAAATAATTAAAAACTTTTTAAAAATGAAAAAAAGGGTTATATTTTTCCAACTTAAAAACAAAAAAATATTCACACGATAAAACTAACAAATTATAAGAAATGTTATTGTTACATTTAAATAATTATTATTTTCTCTAAAAAATACAAAAATATTTTGGTGGGTGGAGGGGAGGTGGGGGAGGAGGGAGGGAAGGGAAGGAGTGGAGGTGGGGGTGTTGAGAGTTTTAATTGTAAAAGTTTAGTTAAATTCTGATTAAATTAAATTTTGTTTGAATGATTTTTATACTTTTAAAGAAAAATGTTTAAGAGAAAAAAATATTTCTAAGAAATTAAAATGAAACAAATAATTGTGTTTTAAATATTTCATGATAAATCAAATACATACATATAATTTTTTAATAAAATATTATTTTTGAATTTGGATCGGCAATATATTTTACTTTAAAATTTCTTTTTAAATTTTTATAGAAATACAGCTTTGATGTTAATTATTTTATTAATTATTAGAGATCGGCCTGGATCTAAATCCAAATCTTGATTTTTCTTGGATCCAGTGTCAAAATCGAGGCATTTTTCGTTATTTTTTGATTTCCCTTGATTAATGAGCAGGAATCTGGTCAAGATCCTCAAGCAATCAAGATCTTTTAGGATCTATTTTGATAAAGAAAAGGTTAATTAAAATAAAAATTGAGAATTCTAACTACAAATTTTTAAAACAAAGCTTTTTAGGGTTCTCCTGTTTGGATTCCAATTTTGAAAATTTTGTAATTTAATAAACATTAACTAATAATTTTTATTTGGTTTTGCTAAACTTTCAAATACAATTTATTTAAAATATTGTATTTTAATTAGGTTTAAATAACGATTAATGGCACGCTACGGAAACATTTTATTATATTTATAAATTAAATTATTAAATATTGCAAAGACATTTTTGAATAAAAAAAGATTTTTTAGTGAAATAACTTTTTAAAATATTAGGTTACAAAATTTAAGTTTGTAACCTAATATTATGTTGTCTAATAATTTTGACTTTGGAACCAAAATTAGGCCTTGAAAAATTTTGACCTTGAAATAGTCTCAGGTTTTAAAAATTTTTAGCCTCAAATCTTAAGGTTAAGTTTAAATCTTAGGGAAATTGCAGGCTGTATCTTGGACAAAGTTTTGAAATTTTTCGCTTAAGAATACATATCTCTTTATTTATTATTTAAAACAATAACAAATAAATTTTAAATTAATTTAAATTAATTACCTACCTATTTATTTAACTTCCTCAAAGAGTTTTTTAAATAATAAAAAAATAGAGAGAATATTGTGTAAATATATAAAAATAATCCTCTCCAAAAAATATCCCCAAATAATGGAATTAGTCCATAGATTGGTTAACAAAAAAAAAGAAAGGAAATGCCATTAATTCAAAATAATTTTAAGTGAAACAAAATAAAAAGAGAAACAAAATCCCCTTTTTCTTTTTAAATTAAAAAAAGAATTGTTTTATGTTAATTTTAAATATCAAAAAAAATTTTTCGAAAGGTCAGAAAAATATATTTTAATTGAAAAATAAAATATACTTAAACTACATATGTACCAATACACAAAACTCATCCTAAAAAGTAGAAAATTAGAAGGAAAATTTTTATTTGAATGATGGGCTAAATCACTCTTGAAACTTACAAATTAGCCAGTTAAAAATTTTGAATAAATTTAAAAAATTCTTAAAAAATATATATTAATTAATAAAACAAAAATATTTTAAAATAAGATTTTTAAAAAAATAAAATAAAAAGAATGGGGAAAGAAGGGTCGAAGGCCGAAGGTTTAAGATTGAAACCCATCTGGTTAGTTTTGAAGGACTTCCTTTAATTTATTAAAAATTTTTAAATACAAAAAAAAGAGATTGTTTTATTTAATTTCCTAAAAATTAAGCTTTAAATTTTTTTTAACTATTTAAGGAAATAAGGAAGTCAAAAAATTAAAAAAAAAAGAAAAAGGGAAAGGGAAAGTTACAAAACTTGTAGACATTTTAAATAAATAATTAAAGATTAAAAAAGATTAAATATTGAATAAATTAAAAATTAAATTTATTGATTTTAAAGATTGCCTGAAACAAAATAAAAAGATTTTTTTAATTTTCAAATAATTATTTTGATTAATTAATTAATGGGAAGAAAATGTTTATTTTTTTGTTTTTAATTAATTTTAGCTAGTATATTTTGCAACTTTTCTTAAATTTTTTATTGAGGTAAGAAAAAAATAAAAATTTAGTCATAGAGAATGATAAAATGGAAACATAAATATTAGAGTAGGATGGGGAGTGGGCTAGGTATTTTGAAAGAAATAATAAAAACATATATTTTAAGGTTTTTCCAAAAAAAACTTTTAATTTGGCAAGTTAATATTTAATTATTTTGTTTTTATAAATATATTATTGGCAGATTTTAATTTTACAAAAAATTAAAAATAAAATTTAGAATCTAAATAAAATAAAAGATTTTGAGAATAGGAACGGCAGGATATTTCAAGGTATATTTTTTAATTTGATTGACTGGAGAAAATAATAAATAAATTATATACATAATCTCTTATTTAAACTTCAATTTCAGAGCCTCTCTAATTAAAAATAACCCAAATATCCATTAAAAAATATTTTTAAGAGAAATTTTAAATAATTATTTAACCAAAACAGAAAAATTCTTTCAAATAAAAATAAATAAAAAATACAAAAAACCCAAAAAAATGGATTTTTGGGCCTTTTTTAAATTTGCCTTTTTTCATCATTTCAGTCATTAAAGTGGCCATTAAAATAAAATAAATAATTTTTATAGATTTTTTGGAGAAAAAAAAGGGGGGAAGTGAAGTACTCAAAACCTTTAAATATTTTTTAACAATTCTTTAATCCCTTAAAATAAATTTGCAAGCAAAAAACTTTTAATAAATTGTTTAAAAAAAGAGTTCGTTTTTAAAAAGAAGACAGTTAAAAAAGGGAAAAAATAATTATTTAATGGGAAAAGTTTTTAAAAAATTATTAGTTTTTTTAAACTTTTTAAAAAATTGGAAGAAGGAAATTATTTAATAGGGGAAAAATAATTTAAATTTTTAGAAAATTAAAATTTAAAATATTTATTTAGTAACATTATAAATTAAATTTAAAGAAAATTTGTTTAAAAAATAAATTTTAAGGGTACTTTTCCGTTATACGACCGCAAACTGAGTGCCAGCCAACTTTGATCGGCTTTAACTTTTTAATGCTTGATCCAATACAAATGAATTTTATATCTTTCGAAAGCCCTCAACAAGCGGAAAATTAAACTTTAAAATATTTAATTTAAATAAAATTTATTTAAGAAATAAATTTTAAGTTTTAATTTATCAGAATATTAAATTAATTAATAATTTTTTTGAAGTCTAGAGGGAATTTTGGATTTAGGAGGAAAGGAAAATTATTCATTTTAATTTTATAAAAAATAGTGAAAAATTGGAAGCAAAAAGAAACAAAAATGAGACAAATATACTACATATGTATATTTAAATATATACATTCAATTGTTTCTTTAAAAGATCTTCCCCCTCCCCCTTTTTGTCTCTAACAATAAAAACCCCCATCTGGATTTAATTTTTAAATAAAAAACCCAAAAAAATTTTTTGTTTCAAAAATTCTAAGAATAAAAAGTAACAAATAAATCTGTATTTTTAGGTTTTTATTACCCAAAAATGTTTAAACAATTAAAAACATATTTTTGTGTGATTAAAGAGAAAGGCGGAAATGCTTCAAAAATAGGAAGAATTTAAATAAAAAGTCTAAAAATATTTTTTTCTAAAAATTTCCGTAAATCTAAATTGACACATATTTTCTAATAAAATATTTTTATTTTGGAAAGAATTATTTTATTTTCCATAAAAGAAACAATTTTTTGGTAAAATTAAAAACAAATTTTGCAAATTAGTTAAATAAATGGGAAATTAAAAATACTTTATTTTACTAAAAAAGGTTTGCTGACTTTTGCTTTTTTTTTGTTTTTTTGTAAACTTTAAAAATAGAAAAATTAATTTTTAAATTAATTTATTTTTTGTTTATTCGCACAAAGTTTTCATGAAAATATTGAGAAAAAATATAAAAAAAAAATATTTGAGAAAAAATAACCAAAAGTAAAATAAAAATTCAATTTGTTCACACAAAATACTAGTAATGTTCGGGAGTGAAAAAAGCCTAGAGTCGAGACCGAGAGATTAGGAGGGATTATAATATCCCTCGATATACTTACACTCAGATTAATCGCTTAGAATCCCCTTATATCCCTCCAACTCGAATGAATCTTCTTTATCACTCGATCACTACAAAATACCAAAACATATGTAACCCTTCTCTAGTCAAACATATAATTCTCGTAGAAACGTATTAAAATATTTGCAAGTTAAAATAATTTTTGGTAAGCAATTATATAGCCTTATGTATGTAGAAAACATTATGAGAAAATCTTTTTTATATCAAGCAAAAACACAAAGCAATACATATATTTAGGTAAACAATACAACAAGCACAATGAATACAGAAAAACACAATATTTATTTATTTCTTATCCACTTCTATACATACTTCTGTCACAGATTCTTTGGTTTGGCACATCCGTTTGTTCCGTTCATTCCCTATATGGTGGTGGTGGTGGTTGCTTGCGCTTGAAGAGAAGGAAATAGAGCAGAACCGCCAACAAAACACAACAGCAGCACGAACAAAGCAGAGAAATGATAAGATCGCCGACAGCCACTGCTAGTAAGGCGTTGGATCCCTTATCATCCGGCTTAACAGGCTCAGCTTGATAGTTATGATCCACTGGGGCAGGGGCTTTGTTCTCCAACTAAAAAAAAGAAAAAAGATTTTTATTTAGAGAATAATTTTCAAAAATTTAAATTTCTTTACCTTTTCCTCCTCCTTCTGCGGCGTTTTATCCTTGCTAACTTCATCCTTTAGGTCGACGTTGATGCTCATTTCTTTGCTGTTGACATGTTCAATCAGAATCAGCAAAACAACAATGGAGAGCGTCACAATGAACATTGCCTTTTTGTTGTTGGTGTTGACGATCATCGTTGCCGGCAGTCGGTTTGGAGTATTTATGTTGATGATGGAAGTTAACGATGAATTAAGAAGGAGATGCTTTTATATTTAGAAGTTATCTTGTTTTTATATGAACTATTGCTATTTAGACTATCTAATCTGAATCTTGTTTTCTATATTTCATATCCTTTATGTATAAATTACCATAATTTGCTTCAAGATTTCCGAATCCTACCAATTTTAGCATTAAACGATTCCACTAATCGAGCTAAAGAGATTGGTACCAAAATTGATAAGGGCCAGAAATTTTCCAGCTAGTTAAGACTTGCGCCGTTATGACCGCGCGCCTACTTGGGCGTGTCCCACATATTTTGATTTGAAGTTAATTTTTCTGATAAGTTGAGATAAGGTTAAAATAAAATTTTAAATGATCTGAACTGAACTTTACCCTTTAAAATATTCAGCTAGCTATAAAAAAATCTGTCATACACAATAAATAACAGCATATTCAAATTATTTTTTTTTAATTTTTTAAAAACACAATAGCATTTACCTACTTTTATTAAACCTCAAAACTTTGTTCTCTTTTTTTCTTCCAAATAAAATTGCCGGGCAAAAACAGATGATTGATGAAGACAACAAATGTCCACCTAAAAAATATTTTTAAAAAGAATTAGTTGTCTTTCCCCTCGCCTTCCTTTCTTTCTTCATTTCCAATGATCATTTAGTTACCCTAAACTTGTATTTTTAAAGTTATTTAATCTTTACAAGCTGTGATTTATTGCCCCCTATATATTGTCAATAACGGTCATTACATATATTTATTTGTTCTTTTTTAAAGTTTAAACAAAGAAGGAGGAAAGAGGGGAAGTTTAAAGATTAAGGGGCACATTTTTTATTTTAGATTATTTCAAGTCCTTTATTTAGGAAAATATTTTTATAATTCCTTGGAACCTTCTTCCTATACAGTAAAACAAGCTTAAAGATAGTGAGTGGTTTTAAATAAATTAAAAAATAATATTTTAAGAATAGACATTTAATCTTCCATTATTGTCTCTTTTCTTAAATAAAATACATAAATATATTTTATTCATGTTCTTCCAACAATTATTTTTAAAATACCCTCCTAACTTTTACATAAAATCAAAATAAATATTTATTTTTTAAAAATAATTTAATTAAATATATTTTTAACTCAAAAAAACTTTTTTTAGACAATTACTGCTACTTAATTACCCTTAACTTTTTTTGTGCGCGCAACAGATTTATTCCCGCATTTTTTTTGTCTCATTAAGAGGTCATTCATTAACATTAATTTTTAATTCTTAAATATTTGCCTGTCTTTTAAATAAAAGAAAAATTTATTTAAATCCTTCAAAGTTTTCTTTTGTTTTTTAAAATAAATCCTTCTTCTAAAAATGAACATTCATTTCCATTCTTTCACCCAAAGATTTCGGCTTATCCCTTCTGGGTATTTTTTTATTAACCAAAAAATTAAATGAAAATTGGATTTATTTATTTATTTTTATTTCCCTCATTCTCTTTTAAAAATTCTCATCAAAAAAGATTAGTTAGACCTAGTATTTTCGCTTTTCAAATTCTTTCAGACATTGAAGACCACCATCCCTCTTTATTTTTGAGAGAATATATCCATTCATTCTTTATTATTAAATCTGTTTAGAACCACTAAATTATTCTAATTTTGACCTTCAATTTATTTAAATATTTTTTTTATTAATATCAGTTTTTATTATAATAAAATATTAATTAATTAATTTAAATTTGTGATTAAAATGTGTAAATGGATTTTTATTTAAATTAATTTTTAAAATTGTAAACGTAATTTTGAAATTAAATTTATTAGTTAAAATCATTAAGAATCGAAAGTCATTCAATAAATAATTTTCTATATTAATCTAATTTCAAAACTTTCAATTGAATGAATCATGTATCTGTCAGTACAGTATATTTTAATAAAATTTAAAATAAAAACAGGAGGTTTTCATCCAAATTTTACTAACTTTGCATATTCGTTTTCAGCTTTATCCAAATATATTTATCCCGAAAGATCTCTGCCTCGATGTTTGGATAAGTAAGAAAATGAATATTCAAGAAAATAAATGAGTAAATTTGGAAAGTAAAATACCATTCTTAATTAATATTTTTAATTAACCAATTACTTTCTTCCCCTTCTATATTTTTTTCTATATTTCATTATCCCCTTTTCCTCCAAATAAAATAACCACTTTTGAAATTAAAGAGAATTTTTAAATCTCATTTTTTTGTTAATAAGAGAGTATATTACTAAATTTAATCCAAATCAGAATAATCCTCTCCTTTAAACATTATATTCTCTTTATTTTTTATTCAATCATCAAGCATAAAAGGTGGTGAAAAAGCGGTAAAAATTAAAAACAATTTTTATTTATTTTATACCGCCCACAATAAATAACCTTCTTTTCTCTCCTTGTTTATGCGCGCGAACATTTGTTCGTCCGCCAAAGAAAAAAGATGATGAATGGTTTTATTTAAAAAATTGTTAGAAATAAATAAATAGATATCTTCTTTCCATTTAAGTAAAAAAATCTATTCAGAAGCTTTGCACTTTTTTAAAAAGAATAAAAAAAGCCAAACCCTTTTTTTAATAAAATTGTTATTGTATTTTTTGTTATTTCCAACTTTTAACGTTAGAAAAATGCAACCTTTACCCCTTAACATTTAAAGAACTTTGTGTTAATTTTTTAATTAATTTACCTATTTTTCAATTTTATAAGCTATTTTTGAGTTTATTTTGTAAACAAAATTGTAAAAAACATTTTTTAAACATACCGTATCCGAATATAAAAATCTGTATTATACCAGAAAATAAATACAAACTGTTCTCCATTGAATAGTTTGATATCCAGAATAGTCAGATCACAAAGTTGCTTAATCTTAATATTGTCTCAATCAGTCCAATTACGTAGATATTTACAAAATTCTCACAATTACCGTATTTACTCGATTAATTTCCCTCTCTCGAATAATTCCACCTGCTACGGATGAGTTGAAACAATAATCCCCCTCCCTCAAATACCCTACTACATGTTCAAATTTCAAAACTCGAATAATTCCCCTCCCTTGAATAATTCCCCATGCCATGGATGGGTTGGAAAAATAATTCCCCAGGGGAATTAATCGAGTAAATACTTTAGTTTATATTTCCTGATTCAATTTAAACCGAAAAATCGACTCGTTTATATTAATTAAACCCGAAGAATTCCTAAATGTTTCAAAAATAAGATCCGGGAGAAAATGCTTTAATTCTCAGCCTGGTATTCTCTCCTATGGCAATTCCTACTTAAAAAAATATTTTAAAAAATAATTATAAAAAAATATCTCTTTTTCTTTTACCGTTTCTTTAATTTGTTCATCATTTTTTAAGAAAAAAAAGTAAAAACAAAAGAAAAGAGAAAGGCAGCTGTCGCCAGTTCCAATACAAATCTAGTAATCTCCCCTCCACTCCTTCCCCCTCCTCTCCTCACAAAATTAAATCTCCAAAACCACAGAAAATCCCCAACAAATTGGCGCATCAAATTGGCAGGCTGCAAATTGGCCTTGACTTTAAATAAATAAAAAAATTGTTTTTAAATTGGGGTAAAACTAAAAATAAATAGCAGTAAATTCCCACTGTTTTGTATTTTTACTTTATTTCTCTTTTATTTTAAATTGTAGTAAATTTATATATATAAAAGTCCGACTTTTTATAAAATCAGAAAAATTGTTTTGACCTCAATTTAAGTGCCCCTTTATAGAATTTTTATTAAGCAACGGATTTCAGAATATAGCTTGTGATTGTTGTGTATTGGATGGTTACAAAACTGTTGATTTAATAGTAAGGATGATTCACTTAGAGCATTTAAAACGCTTAGGCGGGGGTGTAATGATCTAAAAGGATAAGGTAGCTCAGTTGTAGAGCTCCTGTATATGGTGAGCGAAAGTGCTTAACAATAACTGTCAGGAGGTCGCAGGTTCAAATCCTACCCGGTGGCTAGACTTTTGCAAGCTCCTCCATTAATTCTATGTACAAAATTTAGTTTAATTATTTATTCGAATATATATTTCTTAATGTATTATTCTCGATTATTTTTTTCCTTCCCTTACCTTCTATAAAACAATTATTCCCAATTTGTTTTGGATTTTTTGTTATATTAATTTATTATTTTTAACAATTTTTTTCTTTCTTTCTGGCTACATTCTCGCCATTTTGTTGGCATTCTTCTCTTTCTTCTCTCTCCATTATAAATATATTTTAATCGTGACCCAAGCATTAAATAAATATATTTAAAGCATTGTGGCATCAAAACAATTAATTTCCCCTCACTTTTTTCTGAGGGCATCACGCAATCCTCTTTTGGCACTTTGCCTTGAGCGCGAAAGCTCTATATTTATCCCCCTCTCAAAATATTTTTCCAAAGAAAGAAAAATTGTATAGTGGGGGGATTGCCGGAAGGGGAGGAATAGGAAGTTGGGTGTCATTTGCTTAGTTTACATTTTTATTTTATTTTTCTCTTCATGAGGTCAGAAATTTTTAGCTTCTTAAATAAAGATGTCAATTAATTGTTTAAATATTGATGAATTAATTTAATTTTGATAAATTTATGAGGTAATTAATAACAAATAATATATTTAGAGTCCAGTCAAATTCCAGAATTAAGTTTTTGATTAAATTATCGATGAAGTTAAAGGAAAAAAACAGTCTATCAATCCCTTTATCAGATTATTCCAAACACTATTTAATTTCTCCACCTTAATCAATTTAAATTTTATTTAATAAAATTATTTTTAATTAATTAAAAATAATACATATTTTTTACTAAATTGTATCGCCCGATTTTCCCACTTACATATTTGGATATATTTTTTCATCTCCAAGGGTGACAACATTATTTTTATTATTTTTAAATAAATTTAAAGTAAGGGAATATTTTTTCCTCTCCTTTTTTTATTCTCACATTTAAATTTTTTGAATTAATTGAAAGAAGAGGAGA